CCGAGCAAAATTTCCCCTCATAGCACACTGTATATGTCATATGCCTGTCTTCATTAGCCCAGTCCGGAGCAAACAGTATAGGACGTTAAACCCCATTTCATTTCATTATTCACAATGATGAGGTTATAGTGTGTATGTGGCTGTATGCCACCCGGTGGTATTGGGTAGAATAGTATTTAATTAGTATTGGGTAAATCGTCCTGACGAAAAATATTCTGGTCAATGCTAAATCGTGTATTACGCCGAGAGGTTTTGAAAATCCAGGCGCCTCCCCTGTGGTCGACCTACGAGTAGCTCACAGAGTATTTTTACTCTGTGGAGTAGTTACTCTGTGGAGTAGCTATTTACAGGATTTATGGGGCACATGTCTAAAATAAAAAAAAATAAAAAAAAAAAGGCGGTGACCTCCAAATGTACTACGACAGACAGATTTCCGACTTCCAAATATCAGTAGAGCTTTCTTTTGTTATCCTGGTCCTTCAATGGCATTGTGACACGTTTGCGATTTTCATTTTCCGCAAAAAAAGAAAGATATTGGTATCTATAGCCTATTAAAATTATATTACATGTATAAAATTTCCTCGAGATCGTCGCACAAGAACAATGATCATACCGAAGAGATAGTTCTTTAATGTTCAACATGCAAAGAAACCAACGTTTAAAGAGTTTTACACGACGTTTAATGCTTTATTTGCAGCTTTGAATTTCCATACATTTTCTGGTATTTATGATCGATATAAAAACGTTTTATAATATTGACTTTCGCCTCATTCTTGTTGTTTTATGTGTTTGATCAAGCAGTGGCATGTTCTTCAAACCGATATTATTATAATAAAACTCTTCTAATCCGTCGGCTAAAGAAGTTTCAATAATTAGAGATAAGATTTATATTATACGTAAATGACAATCCTATTAAAGTATTATAATATCAAAGTTTGCAAGGGATAATGATAAAGAAAATCAGTTATATTATCTCTGCATAAATCTTTGATAATTTTATTGAATTCTTATGATAAAAAGTTTATTTCATTGAAGTATTCGTGGCTAAATGCACATAATTTATATAGTTGTTATTGATGCACCCATTAATTTTATTTAACGTTTTGATCAATCGGATTAACATTCGAGGTTAATCAATCATAATTGAGAGCCAAGATCCTTAAGTAGAAAAGGTCTGGTTTGCATATAATGTACACTCTTATTCAAGTTGATCCAAGACAAACTCTAAAGATACCTTTCCGAGTAGAAACTGTGTGATTTAATGATATATATGGACTAAAACATATTCAAACTAATCAATCTATTAAAAGTTTGCTTCAAATCCCTCTTAAAACATATAATCGCGAGGAGATTCTCCAAGCTATAAAAAAATCTGTTGAGGTAGGGTGTATTTTGCAGAATGTTTTTGTCATTACTTACTGTCCATTTACCATACATATTAAGGCCTATGTAAATTCTTGAACTATTCTACCGCCAACTTCTTTTTCTACTGCGCTGTTCAATTGCAGAGTCTGTTATACGTTTACACACCTCAAAGTTCCCAACCGCCTAACCATTCGACCAAGAAAAAACAACGGCACCCTAAGTTAAACTGCCAGACAATAAGCTGTTGGGTTGCCAGTTAGTGATACCCTGACATATTTGCCCAGTGCTTGCCCCATGGGTGTATTTCGAGTAATCCAGTAAACTTTCTATTGGGCGTCTATACTTTCCATATATACCAAATTTGCCATACTTTTTTAACCACCAGATAAATAGTTTTGTGAGAATGCATCTTTAATAAGAACAATGTTATTATTTTGCAATTTAGGCGAGTCCAGGGCAATATTGAATATGATGTGACCCGTCATCATTAATATTTAGTTGGACATAAAGCCCCAGTTTGTGAACATAATTAAACAAAGCAGATGGAAGAGGGGGAAATCGGAAAGAAATGAAATGGGATTTTACGTCCTACACTTTTCTGATACACACGGGCTAATGGAAACTGACATACGTCATGCAGTGTTCTACAAAGCGGGAAATTTTGCCCAGGCAGTCCTGCATACTCGTAGGTGTACTAGGGCCTCGGGTATCGTCCTATCCGAACAACTAGACGCAGTTCCCTGACAGCCCCCCCCCCCCGACTGATGTGATTAAATCATTTTGGGGAAGCTAATATTGACTATTAAAACAATCTGTAAACATAAACTGATTATTTGTGGCGAACGGGGTGTGAACTGCTCCCAAAGTATTTTTTGCTTGATTAAGTCATTCTGGCAAAATGATTCTTTGACCCACAACTCCTTAATCTTAATAGTCTAGACATCAGCGACAAATTCGCCATACCGTATAAAGAATTATTTTTAAATTTAATAAAGACATTGTTAACAGTAAAAGATGCTTAGGTTATGTATTAAAATGAAACATTGTAAATGTGGTTGGCTCTCATAAATTTCACATTTCTCCATGTCTTTAAAAAGGAGTAGGTTGGTGCCAAATTAATGGCCACCCGTTTTGTTATTCAAAGACTTTGGCGTTCTACCAAATTTCGACTAATTACTCTATTTCTAATAAACTACAACAATTAAACTCCCCTGGCACTTGACCTCCTTGTCATGTTTAATTAATCTAGGAAAATAAATTCTTATTTTAGAGTTTGAACAACTTCCAAATACCTTTCTTTTACGGTTAACCCAATCAATTCCGACTTTGTGGAGCGATAATGGAAGGTAATTATATTATTGAACCGCAAGCCAATGTATGCTCTTTTTAAATTCATTAATTTTGTTGATTTGTAAAAGAAGTTTGGTTATCTAACACACATAAGACATCTTTTCGAACATTTGTCTGAAATTCTAATGTATATAAATTTTAATGAGCGGTATTTGCCCACGATTTGCAAATATCAATAAACCAATTAAATTTGGTTCTGGTTTTGGTTTCTGTTGGACTAGCTATATATACTGAGCGCCATTGAAAACGCATCACTTAGTTTTTCGTATAACAAAATGATCCTGTAAACATATCTTATTTATTTTGCTTCTTATTGTAAACAATATTCAAATGGGAACACATCAATAACAACACATTTGTACACTTATGGATGTTTAATCTTTAATCAAGGGTACAAAGTCAGAGGGGTCAAAACCAAAAGTACGACACAGATGTAAGTAGCGCGTGTGTCCTCCACGGGCCATCATCACGGTAGGCTACAGCATTAACGCGACCCCTGCAAATGGTGATGAAATGTGAAGCCTCCCCACCCCATCGATCCGTTTCGAAGACGCAGCAGTCTGCAAGACGTTCCCCAAGACGTCTCCACACACGTTGACGGCCATCAGCGTGATAAAGATGAAAGCGACTCTCATCACTGAAGAGCACACTTTGCCAGTCTACTCTTCTCCATGTCTGGTGTCCTTGAGCCCATATCAAACGCCGCTGACGGTGATGATCCCTGAGGATAGCTCCAACACAAGGTCGTCGTGCACGGAGTCCTACTTCTCTTAGACGACGTCTTACGGTGTTGGCACTTACTGGTCCTTGTCTTCCGACGACTGCTGCACCTGTTCGAGTCGCTGGGAGGAATCTGTCACGCAGATGAGTGACCCAGATGTAGTGGTCTTGAGCCTGGGTTGTAACGCGTTGTGGACCTGGACGTTGACGGTCACGTGTTGATCCAGTAACTCGAACACGTTCCACCAACCTTACAATAATGGACTGATGACAATTGAAGTGTCTGGCAATAGCACGTGTAGACATGCCAGCCCTGGACATTCCCATGGCTTCATTCCGTTGATTTTCAGTAAGTCTCGGCATCTCTAGCTCCATTTCTTCACACCTCCAACAACAAATTACGACAGATTGACGTTTCACAGTTCATGTACTGTACTGCACATTAAGTTGAAAACATGCTTTTAAAGGGCTCACACACAATGCTGCACGTGAATATTGGGTTTTTCATGTGCATCTCGTGCAATTTTTTTTTTTTTTTTTTGCACACGGGCCGGTATTTTTTGTGTTTGGGGGCATTGTGTGAAACAATAGTTCATAGTATTGCATAATATTATACATACAAAACCACCTAGTAATAAAATATTTGGGAAAAAAAAGTGATGCGTTTTCTATGGCGCTCAGTATATTTTTCTTGAACAGCGGTTGGCTAAACTTATCTTTAACCGAAACAAATCGTCTTTTCATTGACTAGATGAGAGGTAATGTTAGGTTATATTTGAACTCGAATTTCTTAATTATGTTGTTAGTCGTTACTGTAGTGTAAATGTTCGACCATTCGAAAGGAAATAAAATAAGCCAGATAGTTTATTAGGATATTAAGCGCACCCGAGTGTTTACAAACAATTTTTTATGGAGACCGTGCTGAATTGTACAAAAAGATAGCAAATTTATTATTATTTTAATTATACAAGACTAAAAAAGATATATACTTTTCTAACTTGTTTGTGCTATTTGTATCATTAACACCTTTACAATACATATTTATCTACGTAAATTTCAGCAATAAAAAAAATTACTTGTAACTTACTTACCAGCTGTCTAGTCGTTCGCATGTGACGAAAAACCGAGGTCGCATGTATACATTGGCGTGCACGTAAGAGATCCCTTGGCAGTTGGAATTCGATATAAGAGGAGGCCACAGTGTCGCTTCCCGGGCAAAATTTCGCGCATAGCACACTGTTTGTCGTATGCCAGTCTTCATTACCCCAGTTTTTGGGGTGTTTTTTTTTAGTGGTGCGGGTCTCGTCCCCTCAATATTCGAGTTAAATTAGCTTTTTTTAATCCAATTTATTTTGTTTTAAAAATAAAGTTATTTTTGATTGTGTATGGTTTAAATCACTATTAAAGGTTTTTGAGATCAAAAAAGATTAATTTAAGCAGGAGCTGGGATTTTTTTACTGTTACTTCGATTAAGGGGAGACTATGCCTTCTAGCTCTCTAAATTGAAAGTAGAAAATATTGCAGCTCTCCTGAACATAAGATAAATTCAGTGTTCGTAGCTAACAAACAGTATGGCGTCTCTTTGGCTAGAAAAATTGAAAAAAGCACAAAAAACATGTTTAATTCAAGATGGTAAGACAGTAAATAGTTTTTTTTTCTGGCTTTGAGACTAGTCTATTTCCTGTGTTCAATAGGAAACAACACCCGTTACCATGTCGTATGCGCGACATGCGGCTGAGGGCACGTGTCAAAGACAGTTTTTCTGAATGGTCACCAGTGGCGAGCGGAGTGCCGCAAGGCAGCTGTCTACTGTCTGATTCATCGTAAATTTTAAACGGATTTCTTCGATTATGAACAAACTACTTAACGTTGGTTATTATAAACTTACCTGTGTGTTTGTAATGAACTCCCGTTCGATAAAATCCATTGCACAACTAATTATCACAACGATGAAAACAAGTTCTCTCTTGAAAAATTGAAATATCACAAACTTTTCCCAGAGAAAAATACCAATATGGAAGATGGTTACGTCACTCTGCGGAAGATATCATTTCGTATTAGGGGTGACAGCATAGGAAATTCAAGTACAATTACGACAAGAATCCATGACCACTCGGACCAAGAGATCACTCGGTTCAAGACCAGTCGGACCAAGTGATAGACCACTCAGCCCAAACAAATAGACTACTCGGACCATACAAAAAGACTATTCGGACCCAACAGAAAGACGACTCGGACCAATAATAAAATGTTGTTTTAATAAATTGATAATTGCGTTTGTTTTAATATAATTACTCTAACCAATAATAAAGTGTTATTTTAATAAATTGATAATTGTGTTTATTTTAATATGACTACTCGAACCAATAATAAAGTGTTATTTGAATAAATTGCTAATTGTGTGTGTTTTAATATGACTACTCGAACTAATAATAACGTGTTGTTTGAATAAATTGATAATTGTATTCCAAATCGCAAAATATCGAGAACCACACTTGTAGTCACGTTTAAAAAGGGGCATATAAACGTCCGGTCTTCGTATTATTATGTGCTGTTTATATTAACGCATCAAGGGCGGATAACTTGAAAACGTGTCTCCCCCCCCCCCCCCCCCATATATAGTAACCCAGGGGTTAGTGGGGTAGAACGGAATGAAACCACTGGGGATACCGCGAATGTGGAAAAAGTAAAATTAGGCTATCAGACAAGAACAGTATACCCGTATATGTAGAAACTGTCAAAAGTCTGGACATACCGAGTCTCATTGCAAGAGTAAAGAAAAATTAGATTGATATTTTTTTTTGGCACCATTATTAATTAATTTTAAAACTAATCGTTGATTTATTTACGTACACAAAATTGAACCAAACAACTCTAAATATAAGAATTCCGTGTAAGAATTATTTGCTTCTTTGTATTGTGATTTAATAATAAATAAATAGCATATTGTCTAGCCTTATAATATAATTTAATTGGTCCGACTGGTCTTGTTTTGGTCCGACTGGTCTTAGTCCGAGTAGTCTTTGGTCCGAGTGGTCTGGATACCTACGACAATTGGCATTGAGTTTGAGCGTTCGCACACATAACTACCCGCATTCCTGTATTTAGTTACCGTCTTTTACATTCTAGTAAAATCTCTGCAAATTTTATAGCTTTACTTTTTGAAATATTTTGTTCTAATTATTTGATTAGCGACTCGGATGGGAGTATTTACTTTTGAACACTCATGCCGCACAAACACAAATATACATTCGTTTTACGGGCTTTATCACACTTCGGTCAAAATTGTCGAATCGAGAATTAATGTTCCGCTTCTTACGGGGTCATACGGGCTTAGTAGCATTATATACCCACCCGGGCACCCAATACGGCAATAGACACGCTGAGGGCTGCCGCAACACGCTTAAAGATGTTACTGAAGCGGTTATTATTCGATCGAAAGAATGCGTATAAAATTAAAAATACACTCAGAGAATTCGGAGGTAAGCTTCATGATCCTTGTTAAATTATTTATAACATAAAGAAGATAGGATATTTATAGTTTATTCATGACTTTATTTTTACGAGTATCCGTGCAATCAGTGATATTTTAATTGTGAAGAAAATTTGATAGACTGGCGATCAATGGTTTCCATATAAATCTCCTATGTAATTGCCTTCAATTGATATTTTTCGTCGCCCAAACCCATATACGATCAAAATGATCGCGCTGTCAAACTATCTTTCAATGTTAACCAACCCCCGCAACAGGTATATTGGATTCGACCAATACGTCACGAAGACATTGTTGACATCGACTCTGTCGAAATTACAAGTAAATTTTCAAATTTTTCAAGAGAGAAATTGTTCTCATCGTTGTGATAATTAGTTGTGCAATGGATTTTATCGAACGGGAGTTCATTACAAACACACAGGTGAGTTTATAATAACCAAAGTTAAGTAGTTTGTTCATAATCGAAGAAATCCGTTTAAAATTTACGATGAATCAGACAGTAGGGCCCATTTTGTTTGTGATATACATCAATGACTTGCCAAGTATTTTGAAAAATCACTCGGGTAGACAAATTAATAAGAGTTCATAACGCAGCTCCAATCGGATCTGGACAATCTTGTAGCATAAGCATGGGCCGACACATGGCAACTTTGTTTCAATGCGGACAAATGTCACATACTCCACTTGATGATACAATAATCCCCACAATATGTACTGCATGAAGAAACACGACTCGGATGATGTAGTGACGCTAGCAACCTCTGAGGTTGAAAAAGATCTTGGTGTGTTAATAATATTAATAATAATAGACAACAGACTCAAGTTTTCCGGTCACATTCAAGCTCAAAGTGAACAAAGCAAATCGGCTTGTAGGCCTCATTCGCAGATCATATACATATTTAGACAAGGGCTGCTTAAAGATGCTTTTTGTTGCACTAGTGCGTCCCCACTTATTGTTTGGCAATGTAGCATGGTCGCCCGGGCAGTGGGGCGATAAAAAGTTGATAGAAAGTTTGCTAAGACGTGCGTCCATAAATGTGCCTTGTCTGAAAGAGCTCACATATTAGCAAAGACTGAAGAAGCTTAACCTTCCTAAAGACGGACCAGAGGAAATCTTATTGAGGTATATAAACACACACATGGTTTTTACTCAGTCAACCAGGACCTACTCCAGCTGGACACTTCTCACGTCACCAGGGGCCTTGCCACAAATTCAAGCTGTACAAGCAAAGATGCAACCCGAGTCTCCCATCACTACAGACTTTCAAAAAATGACTTGATTCGCATATGGCAGACAACAAATTTGCTGCGAAACTGGAATAGTGAGCTTGCCACCCACCTTGATGCAAAGTCACTTTGATAAGTGTAGTCGAAGAAATGGTATGGTGTGGTGTGGTGTGGTGTGGTGTGATATGTGATATGATCTGAGGTGATGAGGAGAGAGGAGATCTCTGATCTATGGTGAGAGGTGAGAGGTGATGAGGAGAGAGGAGAGGAGAGGAGAGGAGATGTATGGAAATAGTAAATAACATTAATGTCTTCCCCGTTTCTATTCGTCCCTAGTACTATTAAAATTAAGTTGCAGTATATGAAAATACTGCTTTATATCACCTCTATATTAAGAGAGAGAGAGAGAAATGTAGTTTAACGTCCACTCGACCTCTGGTCTGCGCAAACGTGAGCTTCATAATGGCAGAACAATTCAAATGTATTTTGTTTTTGAATCGCTAAATACCCCTATCTGTGCAAGTGAATAAAAGAAATAAAATTGTACATTAGATTAATCTCGAAATGGGCTAGTTTGTGTTGATTGACGGTAAACTCAATCTCTCTACCAGCAGTTTGCAACTTTTAGTTAGGATTTACTCCAGATATTAACATAGGCCTACGCATTTTATAGGCCCCTACATGTTGAACTAAAGTACATGTCAGCAGGGTGAAAAAGATTAAAATGTTAGAAACCATATTCAGCAAAAGTTGGTTTACAGTCCTTTCATAACCTAATACAACACATTTATCATGTGTTTTTGTATTGATTTTGATCCCAAGGTAGAAGAAAAATCCACTACACATTTGATGATGGTAATGAATTATCAGAGGAGTATAATGAAAAGAACAATGATTTAATAGGTTCGTATGTTATCAAATACTGCTATATTTACTAAAACTCTCTGGTCTTTTGTATTGTTCTGTTTTTGGTCCAGGAGAGAATTGGTTTTCTGCAAATTTCAGTTGCCACTATTCCTCTTAAAGAGTCTTTTTTTTTATATCTTGAATAACACAGTAAGTACAATTTAAAAAGAGTTTTGTGTATCCCAGTTGCTGCTTCAGCATTAAATCTCCTGGTTACATTTCCATGACGGTCCATGTATATGAATGTTCAAAAATTCATTTTTATGTTTTTCAATGAATTTTAAATCCATCCATCCCCTAATGATAATATTTTCTGTTCCAGTTCGGAAATGGCGTAAGAAAGGAACACTAGGTGGTACCAGCGGTTGGGAATTTGAAGTTGGAGAAGAATTAAAACCAAGATCTCTCGACTCTGAGGGATTAATGGAAAGTAACACAAATGTAAGTTGGTAGCTTGGTATAGTAGTGTGCTCTACTTATTGAAGAGTTAAATTTACAGATGTTTGTAGTTTCTGCATGTAGATGTACAATACAAGACTAAATCTGACAATCCAGTTGATGATTTTTAATAAGGAATGCCTATAGAATATTAACTATAAAACATTAGAAGACTGCTTTATCGATAGAAAATCTCTATACACCATTTTAATTTTGTAGCCAATTTTTGTAAGAAAAGACACAGCTCAGAATTTTCAATGGCGAATCCGTAACCTACCATACCCCCTTGATAACTATATAGTCAACATCAGTGATGACAACAAAAATATTATCATCAAAACTAAAAATAAGAAGTAAGTTTTCTATTTCATTTGGTCAGTAAGACCACTTTTCTAGATGACATATCAAATGATGCATTAATTAGCAGCTATTACTAGTATTAGGTATATGAATATGTATATGAGATCAATTGTTGATATTCTGTTTATCTGGCCTCAACCAGTCAGTACCTGATCAATCTCCTTAAGACACATGCATGTCAGTTCTGCATGATATTCTCCTATCTCTAGACATGACTAAAACATGAACTGTAATATTGAACAAACTGAATAAAGGTAGTTTGATAGAGAATGTAAAATGATATTAATTCATAATAATTATTTCTACAGGTATTATAAAAAGTTTAGTATACCAGATATGGAAAGAGCTGGATTATATTTACAACAAAATCAGACACAGTTAGCTCATGCTAATAACACATTAATAGTTTCTGTAAGTTACATAAATTTATGTGGAAATTTATCTTTTTGAGAGTGAATAAATTTAATTTACATGTTTATGAAATAAAATTAAAGCATCCCCGCTCAACAGAATACACAACAGATCAAGGGTATTGCACCCGAAACATCGACCCATTAAACAATCTTCTACTTATACAAGTCTGTTGTGTATTCTGTTGAGCGGGGATTCTTTAATTTTACTTAACTCCGCCCCGCCAGTATCATCTTTTGATCCAGTCTCCAGGCAGATGTATCAGCCTGTCCAGCTTTAATTACTCTCTATGGGAGTGTTGCCGTACCCTTTTCCTATTTCCATGTTTGTGAAATGTAAAGTGCTGGGGCTAGAAGAACTTTCATAGTAATTGTTCCTTATCAAACATAAACCCAAGGTTGAGAATATGCTTGATATGAAACCTGTCTGGTATAATAGTTCCCAAGAACAGACTCTTTGAATTTGATTAATAAACTACATTGGACATATTGTTACTGACATGATTTTTTATTTTACAGTATAAAAAGCCAGAAGAGATTTTAAAATTAGAGAAACTTGTACAGGAAGAAATAAAAAAAATGAAAGCATCAAGAGATGGTGACGTAGACTGTAACCCGAGCTGATTGATTGAATTATCCCTCTTTCGTTAAATATCATTTTGTACAATTTAAGCTTTTCATGTCCCGGTATCGGAACAATGTTTTAAAGCGCCACAGAGTAGTCAGACTGACTGAATGTTCAGCGCTATAGAAAACAATTATTATTATTATTTAATTTTGTGAATAAATGAAATGTCTTTAGTTGTGCAGAACAGAATATTTTTATAAAATTACAAATAATAGTTTTTTCAGATTGTTCTGCCTAACTAATTTATATTTCATGTAACGGTATTCTTCAAGTGTGCATTTGTTGTTTGACAGCATTAAAGTTTAATAGAATAAATTGTGTCATAAATTGAAAGTGTAACATTATACATGTGTATTATTTTCATCGATCTGTACTATATTTCTTATCTAAGGATGTTGATAAGTTTCAAGTATAAATATGAATTATGTTGTCGATCATATTATCATTTTAAAGTTGTTTGTATATATTATATTTAGACCAATATCTGAATTATGTTATATGTTTTTATAATATTCTATTAATAAATATTATAAATTTTGTTTGTTGAAAATATGTTTTTGTTACTAATTGTATTATTTATAGTACACAAGCAATATACACATCAAAGGTTAACACCTCATCAGCAGAATACTTTAGTTATTTAAAGACTGACAAAGTAATTTCTATGGTTAAATATGCAATACTAGAGCAGTCGTTGTTGTTTGTATTTTAGAGGAGAGCTGAAAAGAACGCTCCCCTTAATCAACAAATTAAAAAAATTGCTCCCCTAAAAAAGCTCTCCCAGTTTCGATAAGAAGAGTGATTTAGAAATTGAGGAGAGTGATTTGATATCAAGGAGAGTGATTAGTTGTGTGTATGGGAAATGGTTCTGAAGATCAATAACTGTTGGGGGTCATTTCTGGATTCATGACTTTGTAAAGGAGAGCGATTTTTAATTTTAAGGAGAGGGAGAAAAAGCTCCCTTTGGTCGACATTCATGTGAGTGGCAGGTGCTTGAGAGCGATAGCTCGCCTTAAAAAACAATGACTGCTTGAGACAGCATAATTATGCTCTTTCAATGCCAAAGTAAGGTGTCGTTAAGATGCACTACCACTCTACCAGTTTATTCATTTTGGACCTCAGTTTCCGATTTCACTCGAAAATGATATAAAAAAAATTTCAAAACTATTGAAAATAAACTGTATTTTAACTTTGATAAAATCAAAAATAAAAATTATGTGTAAGAAATAAAAAAACAAAAAACAATAAAAATATAGATTTATAAGTTACAAAATAAAATATCACTAAGTGAAGTCGTCAACAACAAAACAATAAACCAAGTTCCTCTTTTAGCTTTCATTGTGATTCTTGTTATACTGGCACTTTGACATAGCCTTATTCCAGTTTCATTGTTATAGTGAAGCCTGTGCATTTGAGATTTTGAATCTCACTGGAATCAAAATCCTTGCTTAAATTTCAATCTCAACAGTTCCTGTCAGAAGGCTCACGAAAGGTTAGATTAAGATTTTCAAACACTTCTTTCTCACTGGATGCAGGAACAGTCACATTCTGAAAGTAAATGGAAGTAGTCTTTTATCAATAAAAAGCATGTCAAACCAGAAAACATCATGCACAAGAAACCGAGTTTATAAGCTGTTGATTGTACAACCGATAACAAGGAAACTGTCCACCAGGCAAAGTTAAATATAAGAAATGGATATAAAACCCAAAACTATGTTAAATAGTTATTAGTTTGTATTAATTAATAAAGCATATATAATAATCTACCAAGCAACAAACTTGACAAGACTTTATTAGAAATAAGGAAGTTTTAATCCAGGACTTGTTTCGGGCCGCAAGCCCTTTTATCAACTGGATTAACACTACTCTTTCTTATACAGTATTGCAAAGTTTTTTGATCAGATATTATTAAGTATGCATTATTATTTTGAAAGATGATTTCCTTTTATCCCCAACCATATCACCAAGATCTGATTTTTTCCTGCACTGTAACAGAGACTCATCCCCACAATTATAGTACTTTTAGGACAGCGTTAATTCGTCAGTCTTGGATTGTTTTTATTTCAATATAGACTAGGCTTCACTTAAGGGTAATTTTTCATGGATCTTCCGTCACCAAAGGTGTTCAACAAAATCATCTAAATAGTTTAATGATAAAGTCTGAAATTTTTTTAGAAAACTTACCTTTGATAGATCATATAAACCATGACTTGTCAGTTTCATATTTAACACTCTCTGTGAATAAAGTCTTAAATCACGATTAAAATGTTTATTCCCAGTCCAACCAACAAGAGCGTAATAATACTGATCATAAGGGGAGATAATCAGGTCCACCCTTCTTGCTTTCCAATCTCTGGTAGATTTGAAAATATCAACTGGTGATAAAGTTTTAGATGTGAGTTTCCTTAATTTGACCTTTGGTTCTTCACAGTCATCCAATGAGCCTTTAATTACTGATTTTGTAGCTACATTAATTTTAGTAAGAATGTCTGAACACCCCTCAATGAAAGTTTTTGGAAATTTACAAATTCCTAACCACTTTTCAAAATGATCTAACTGTCCTCTCATGCTTAATTTAAAATCTCTTTGATAGACTTCTGGTGAAAAACTGGATCGTTCATGATTACCACATAATATTAATTCTTTCTCTTCCAGTCTTTGTAACAAAGTTGCTAAAAGTCCTGTTTCACTGCCTAGATCTGGATGGGTCAACAATAAATCTACATCATGGCCAATTGGTTTACCTCTATAAGTATATAACAATCAAATATCTATACTACACTATAAGAAAATTTAATCCATTTTTGGACCAGGAATTTGGACCCAAGCACTACTCATCTTCTTGTTTGTCATGCTCAGTTGCTGGTCCATAGTATACTCGTACTTGTTATAACAGGAACCCAGCTTTAAAGGGGAATAATAAAATCAATATTTCAATCGGGCGTTTGTTATTTACATTAATCCCATCCATCAAATGAAACTGGTTCTCCTTCAGGTAGAATAAACTTGATTGAAAGCTGCTATCCATTGGACTGAAAGTCAGATATATGAATTTAAATATAAACAAACCTTCTAAAGCCACCAGTCAACACAACACAAACACCAGGTAATATTTTCTCAGCTTCTTCACAAACAATTTGTGCAAAAACATCAGCTTCTGTACGAGACACAGAGTCCATTAACTCTTCATGAAATGCTACACCTTAAAAACAAGTTTCACAAATATTTCTGTATGGTTTATAAACCCACAGTCCACTCTGAGAAGGAACTGAAATATGGTTAATCTTCTGCTTAAGCATCTTTACCTTTGGGATTAATACAGGAAAAGTAATGGAACAGACAAGGTGCAAAAACACAAAACAGTATCACTATCCTCTTCTCGAGATAAGGATCAAAATGACCACACTGACCCTCTTGGTTTTTTTTCTTAACCCAAGTTGTGTGATCATTTTAACCTTCAATCAAGTAGTTATAATCTTTTAGCTCTACTTTAATAAACCATTTACATACCAATCTTACAAAGTCCCCACTAAATTCTTAACAAACATGTTATTTAACATTATCAGATATATTAATACTTGATAAAATAAACTTTATTGACTGTACTGATATATCTTATGTACCAGTTTACTGATATATCATAAATGACTAGTATGAGATTTTCTATATATTTACAACAGATATCTCAGTGTATACATAATTAAATGACATTTACTTGCCATTGCAGTGTAAATAACAAATCAAATATATTAAAATTTATACCCCAAATAACTCTCCAATCATTCCGTAAATCTTCAATGTTTATATCTTTTAAATTATTCCAACCTTTCTCAATCCATTTTTTAGCTGTTGATGGTCCAACACCAAATATACTACTAAACAGCTGAAATAATTAATACATCATATTATCTGCTTGATGAGTATGGTGTTGGCTAGCCATTAGCTCCTGGGTTCCATTCAGATGTTGCCCGATAAATTTCCCCAATCTTGGTTCCTCTCGTCATTGGTGCAGGATGGAAGGTGTTGAAGAAAAAGCACCTAACCGTTTGATTGGAATGAAAAAAGAACGATGTAAAGGCCTGATCTATATATCATAACCAAACTTGTGATCGTCGAACAAATTAAATATAAAATTGAAAGTTTAATATTGAGTGGAAAAATTTTGTGCATTATGCAGTTGAGTCAGTTAAGTAGAGCAAACAATTCCATTGTTATAGAATTCATCAATCCAAATTTTTTTTATACTCCAATCTACCATCTAGCAAATTGTATCTATTGTGACACAAAATGAATTTAAACATTTTATCGTAAAGCCGAGGACACAATAATTTAAATAAACAATAAACAGAAAACAAAATGGTGTAGTTGCTGTTTTTCATGTGACATTCAAATGACGACTCTCACTACAGGAAATGTGTACTGATAATTGGGCTGAAGGGTGTTGTTTGTATAACACTAAAAGAACTAAATTTAGTGACTCGCCATTTTGAAATCATGCGATTTGTCTTTGATTCTATAACTCAGTTTTGATGTTAGGGCTATTTCGTTGTTTCTCATATGTTTTTGGTTTGGTAATATGCAGTTTCTGTTTGGGGAGCATATGACCAAACGATAGCAACACAAATATGTTTACTTTTTATTGTTTATTTAATTCATGTGTAACTGACTTAAAAGTAAAGTTTACAAGAAATAAACAAACCAACCTTCATCTTATGAAACCAGGGATCATTTACAATATCTTCTACTTCTTGACAATAGCCATCTTCTAATATTTCCTAATATTCAAATATTTGTACATTATACTTATTACATAATTAATCAGATATTCCCATGACAACAATCATACAATAAATAGTTATTTATTACACAGGAGACAGTAGAAACAATAAAATAATATAAAGCTACATAGAATATACATAAACAAATCTTCCTGTTTATAATGAATGTACAATTACAGAGGTTTACAAACACAAACCCTAATCTCTTTGCTTATATTAGCACCAGTGCCGGACTGGGCCTAAGCTCATTAAAAAAAGTGGGCCTAAGCCTATAAAGAAAAAAAGAAAAGAGAAAGAAGGGGGAGGGAGAGGAAAGAAAAGGAAGAAGGAAGGAGAGGACAGGACAGGACACAGAACAGGAGAAAGAAAAGATAGGAAAAAAATGACTGGCAAACAACACAAAAAAACAAGTGTACTACAAATAGTACAAGGGAAGAACTTTATGAGTTTGACCTCATTATACCGAGAACCATGTAATTCTTCTTTTAATCTCTTGACACTGAAGAGAATTCTCAAATTCATCTAATGATAGTGCTCTTAGGTCATTCTGTTATCTAATTGTACTAGGAAATCAAAAATTTGCCTTCTTCTGCTTTGGTCTGAAATGCTTAGAAAATGGGTTTGCAGTTGTCAATTTTCAAAATTTTCCTGGGGGGAGACCCCCCTCGGACGCTCGCGTGCCATTGGCGAGCTTGTGACGCACCAAGCTTGTGTGGGCCTTGGTCAATGACCCGACAGGTAGGCTTCGGCCCACCAGTCCGGCACTGATTAACACTAGTTAGCACCTATTTGAACTAAGGGACATAAATGTTGGTCCAGAGTTTATAGCATATGCATCTAAAAAAGTATTATATTCAAATTTATTATATAATGAATCTACCATTCCTATAAAAACATCTATAGGGGAAAATAGATTGAAGGTAAAACTCAGTGTAATTAGTAGACTACAGGAATAAGAAATACCATCATAATGCAAGATTGCTGATGCTATTGTCTTGAAATATCTTTCCATATTTTTTTTTTTTTTACCCTGCCAAGCGGAAATCATTTACTCATGAATTATATGCTTCTGAACACCTTTTTTATGTATAAATACATACTTTCTTAAAGTAAATACTGGGATATACAAGATTGGTGGATTAATCATCATATATCATATTTAAATGCTGTAATTTAAGAGGATTAAAACATGATAGATAGTGCAAGTTAAGGTTACATTCTCTGATGCAAATATTCATGTTCTTTCATACTGGAGGTAAACAGCACTGTTTATATATAGGTTCTGTTATAAGTGTTATAACAATATATATCTAACCTTTATGACCCTTGAACTGTGACCTCCAATATCTTTAATATTTTTCAAACTACTAATATTTGTAACTTTGTATGGTAGACTTTTTAAAACACACGAGGCTCGTCTGAAAGCCAGTGCTCTAGAATAGTCTTGCTCTTGATCTCGAAGTTCTGCATATTTCTCCAAAATTTCTAATGGTTCCTGAAAAAACGAATTACAGAATAAAACACAATCTTAACTAATTTAAACTTCACTGATATATTGTATGATATGAGTTTTTGTGTTTCATCAAAAGATAAAACTTGGAATTGACAAACAATATAATGTACTAACAGTAAACTGTTCATTAAAATGTTTAAATGGTGTTGCTCTCTGACATGCCCATTCTGGTATCACAGGTTCCACATTCTTTTCCTCTTCCTGAATAACAACAATAACAACAAATTAAAATCTACAGTAGCATTACAAAATAAAAGCTATAAATGACAAATGAGGCTTACGAAGCAAATACTGTAGCAAATGGTAATGTAGTAAACACTAATAAATATTGTAATTTCACAAAATCTGCTATCTTGCTGATATACTACAACTTGTTAATTAATGATTTGAATATCCAGTTTCAGTAATTTACAAAACTATAATTTGTTTGTTTTGTAACTTTGTGTGGCATGCTAGTTCTTTGCTTGTATGCCCTACATGTACATTGCCCACAAATCTGAAAAATTACAATGGTGCTCTTTAAATTTCAAGTACTTTACCCTAGGTTTTATCAACTGTATTTTGTGCTGGATTTCAACTGAAACAGGATATCCAGCTTTAATACTTTCTATAAACCAGACTGTTTTAACAATATGCTGATCTTTTATTTCAGCCTCTGTTTTAACTTCTAAAATTCTTAATACTTGTTCGAGGTTGGTGAACTCTGAGACAACATGTGTTACTGATGAGCTAAAAATCAGTTTGAAAATAAATATGTATATTTCCAGCATTTTAAATTTAGATATCAGGTTGTGCAATGTTTTTAATTTCTACATATCTCATGCATTTTGTTTTTATGACTAAAAAAAATATTACTAGGTACTGTATCACTCTGAAACAAGAGACTTAACTTGCAATCATATTAGCTAGTCTTAAAGGAGCTAAATCGCTAATATTTGGGACCTAGAAATTGACACAAATGGGTTGCAACACATATAATAATATAATATGAATGTATATAAACTGGTATACATTCAATCATTTCTGTTTTAACAGTAATTTCTAATCAGTTATGTTTGGCCAAATTAGCCAGAAGTCTCAATCAAATGGCAGTCTCTAGCGTCTGGTTATTCCAGTCTATACCGATAGTATTTATTGCGCATGGTCTCCAGATAAGAATATGGCGTCACGGTTTGACATGACTTGTCTAGCCTACTTCTTTGAGTCCCTTTACAAATGGTGCTGAAATGCATTATGGTACACGAATTGGTAAAATGTTTATTTTGTCTTAAATATTGGATGTCAGAAGCCCATCTTTTCCCCGGTAAGATCACAACATCAATGTTGATTTAAATTCACAAATAAATCATGTTTTCAATGTCGAAGACTATCTCAGATGTCTGGACTAACAACTATGAAACTTGGCTGACCATAAAATTAATCAAAGGTATAAAAAAATAGAAATATTTAATATCAAATCAAGCATCACTGACTTACGGAACTGTCAAATAAATGACCCAAAGTAGTTATTTTACCAATAATTTGGGGAAATTTGTATCCCTTTCTTTTTAGCACCTATCTTCATATCTTCTAAGCGTCGTTTTTGTATCTTTTGAGGCATTATATATATCAAAACGTTTTGTTTTGACAAATTGTTTGGAATTTTGTTATCATATACTGCCATCTTGTTTAGTTTTCTGTGATGATCAACTATTTACAAATAACTAATGAAGTAATAATATTACTGTTAGTTATAAAAATCCTAGTATTTAGAAAATGGTAGGTCTAATATATAAAATAAATTTAAAGAAAAACCATAATTTAAAATTCATTTTATTCACCTGGCATAAAGTATAAGGAAAAAATATATAATTATCAGCATTTCATCACGTCAAAGTATTAAATGACCTTGATCTTCTAAAACGATATTCGTTTCGGTATAAAAAAGATTATGAAATAGTTTCAAAATTTGCATGTTACCGGATCAGACGATTGTTTACAAGTGAATGGTGTGATTATTATTAAAATATCTGGTGATGAAATTATGAATGACTGACGGTTACGACCTTCACAGTAGTGATGCTATTTCATTTTTCTTGAAAAGCTAATATTACTACACAGTAATTCACTGAAGAGAAAAGGTAAAAAGTTTGATTAGCTTAAAAGTAGGCTAAAAGTAAAAAAAAGGGGGCCGGGGTGGTAGGGGTGGGGGTCGGTTGGCAAAAGGATCACGTTCACAATTAGTTACTTCAGTAACGGATTCTTATCGGCTCTGCTCTCTATCACAATAATTTTGTCAGATAATTTTTCTACCATGTCTAATTTTTTAATATATCTATGTCATATAATTTATAATTCACATTCTAATAACCCTGGATACCCGAAGGGACATGTGTAATGGTACTGCACAAGGTACTCCAGTCCAAGATGCCAAGAGGTATCTCATTCACATATCTCATCGTTCTTCAAGCAGGATGACTTGCACACTAGTTTCCACTGAATTTTTGGAGGAAAAATACTAATGAGATGAGAGGTCCCAGTGGCAGTAGATAAATTCCAAATGCATAGTCCTATCCTAGTAACGATGCCTGGTAGAGGCTATCAGACATCATTACTAAGTATCTACCGAGTAGTCCTATTCTAGATTTTTAAACAAATCTAAAATTCTCTGGCAAACAAAACCTGCCCAGTAAAAAAGGTTTTTGACACTACATCCACTGAGACAAAGGTAATAATCTGTTTCACAGATGTATTGTGAAGTCTTTTTATATCTCTATATTAGATGACTGACCTTTATAAGTTTAAATGCCTTCTGCAGGTAACATCACATCATGAGGCTTTGATCAATGGCTCTATGGCACGTGCATGGTTTACATAAGACGTTGCGTTAACTGGTACGAGCAGAATGGTGGCTCTTACTCATTTTTTACCCAGATATACTTCAAACATATTTATTTTTTTGTCTAATACTTCAAAAAAAATATTCTAGATAGCATTAATTTGCACAAGGAAAAAAGTTAATATTACAAGCTCATTTACCCACACCAATGCCAACCCCATCAGTGACTGTAGTGATGTAGCAACTATCAGTGTGGTGGATAGAATGAATTACCAGTACAGTAGAACTTGCTCGGGCGTGCACTCCTAATCAGCAAACACTTCCTTCAACGTGCACCAAAAAATCCCCCCGAGCGATTTTTAAGTAATTTAACCCCTACTAAACACGCACCTGTTCAACGCGTGCAACGGGCATCACGATTAATTCCCCCCGTAAAAATTCTACTGTTTCAACAGTCACTTCTCTAACGCGGCCAGCGGTCACTATTTTACTAATAAATTCAACAAAACATCGCCCATTCAACGGCCATTGTTGAATGATACCATCTTGTCGTTCTTTCTTTGTAACACTCCCGCTAATCCCGTGAGTAGTAGTTAATTAACTGGACCCCCACTGATCAGGTAAAAAGAAATGTAAAAATAACAATCAACCCGGGATTATCTGTTTATTAATCTTTTGTTTTATTAAACGACTAACCTGATCATTGTTTTCACGCATAACGACACATTATTTGATACTGATTGAATAAAATGAAAGTATCGAGTTTTGTCACGATCATCTAGCATATCTTTTCCATTGCCACTTTGTTGTTAAACAGATGTTTTAGCGCCCCCTATAAGATTACATACAGAGTTACACCCCCTGTAAATCGGTGATAAAATCAGCGATGTTTTTTTGTTCATGTGCTTTTTTGATAAAATAAAATTAATTCATCGATTTTCTTCACAAAAATGGATAAATATTATCGAATGCATCACATTGGTAGACAGTAGTATTGAAGGTTGGTACAAAATGACAAGTTTGCAGAAGTTATGTTCGAGATTTGAGTAAAGAATTTTCGTTCGGTGCAAGATTCAGCGACGGTCAAATTTATCGATGCAAGTATTGATGTTCGCTCCCAATGCACCCAAGCGTAATTTATTTATGGCAGCACAAAAAAGCACCGAGATTTTATTAAGTGGTCGCGTAATCGCTAAAATAGTTGGGGTGGGAAATACTCAAATTCACGGCATTTTGAAACGCTTTTAGATGCTATGAGTCAGTATGATGATGATGAAAGTAAAAGAAATATTGGGGGGCCAGAGATCCAGTATTACTAAACAAACATGTATAAGCTTACGCGACTACTTTGAATTCAAAACTAGATACAAAGTACATGTATTGTTATTGTTATACTACATGAATAAAAAAATATATGCAATCTATATCTTTATTTTTTGTGGTAGGGGTTGGGGCAATATTGGATACCTCCATTAAGCAAACATTTTTAAATTTCCCTTGTGTACTTGCTTAATACAAGTTCTACTGTAGTAGATAAATTATTTCATGCCGAATCCTGTTTGGAATTTATATTGCCATCTTGGAGCTGACGTGCCATAAAACTCTATTTTATTCTGTTTGGAATTTGAATTTGCCAAAGTTCATCTGTAGGTAATTTCCTGTTTTATGGTTTGCGGTTACATGTCGGCGATTAATTTATGGAAATCTCCCATAAAATAGACAGTAAAAAAAGATTTTGTGAGAAATAAATAGATTGGAATATGTTTAATGTGCTAGTTGTAGATAAATGAAAATTTTGAATTTTGTCGTTAGATGTTACGTCTTTAGAAATGAAATGAAATGGGGTTTAACGTCCTACTGTTCTGCTCCTATACTGGGCTGATGAAGACGGGCATACGCCATACAGTGTGCTATGAGGGAAATTTTGCCCGGGCAGCAGAACTATCGCCTACTCTTATATCGAATTCCAACTGCCAAGGGATCTTTTACGTGCATTCCAATGTATACACAGGGCCTTGGTTTTTGGTCTTAAGGACTAGACAGCTGTCCTTGTCAGGCCCCCCGTTCTGCACCACTGACAAGGGAAAACCACGTCGGAAAATCCAGATGAACTTTCTCGGCCAATGCAGGGATCGAACACCCGACCTCCAGGCTAGCGAGCCAGCTTCTTAACCAACCTGCCACCGTCTTTAGTAGAATATCAAAGAGTAACACCTATTTTGTTGGATTAAATAAAAAATACACATGAATGGATTCAAGCTTTCCTATTCAACAACTGTGTAATGAACAGAAGGTCCTACATAGTAGTACCGTCAGTACGGTATGCTTAAAGAGCACATCAAGTGACCTGGCAAAACTTTCTGTACTTGTAGTCAATGGTTACTATACTATATGCACTTTACAGCAAGTTCACACCAATTTGATTAAAATTATTCAGCATATTGTTGTTTAAGTATCAGACACCAAAAAACACTTCAATTTTTCAATTACATGCTTAATCCGTTTGATTGGGCGGTAATGTGACAGGGACCAGAAATGCTATATATACACTTATTATGATCTTATCAATATCTATACACACCACAAGTGGACTAGTGTGTATTGACGTTCAATTAATTAACATACTCACTGATTTGATCATTACCTCCTTATAACTATCTACATGTAAGCTACAAATCACTATAACTCAAAGCATTTTTAAGAGCTGACCTTTCTCGTCTTGAATTGTTTTAGGTTACATACTTGTGCTTGGACTATTTTGGAGTGAGTTTTTAAATACCATATTGTGTTTGAGAGTTGTAGAAATTCCAGCAAATAAAACTGAAATAATGTGCCATCGGTTCTTTTCTGTCAAATATAAAGACATTCTCAATCATATACATAATCCCATATAACCGTGGCAACCAACATAAGTCACCAACGAACTAAATTAACCCAACTGTCAATTTAGAATGGAAAGAATTCCATGATGATTACATTGCTGGTGTCGGATTAAATGAAAAGGGTATAAATGTGGGAGGAGACACTTGGACGAACACTTTTAATATGTAAATAATCTTCGGGTTCAGATATGTGGTTTTTACTGCGAGCACTTCGCTTTTCCATATAAAGGAAGCAGATTCTTTTTTTTTTCTATCTGCTCTTATGACGCCAAACATCAGTCAGTTGGACCTCCTGTTTTAACTTTATTATTGACAAAGTGAGAAGATGACCCGCCCTCTCTTCTCACTACAGCGAGTTTATAAGTGTGCTTTAAGGAACTTTTGGTATCCGAGGACCTTTTTTTTTCCTTTTTATTTTGTGTTTTTAACAATTTTCAAGTGTAAATAATTTAATTAAATCAACCTGTCCATAATATCATATTCATTGTATTGGACGTTAAATCTGTAATAAACAACTTAAGGCAGATATGGCTCCTATACCATGCTTGCTGCGGAGTAATCTGTTGTATTTGACTTGACAGTTAATCCTGTTAAGTCTTAATTTCTTTCTATCACACTGCAAAAGTTAAATAAAGGATATTTCAATGCTTTGCATAAACCTATATCTTTGATCTGGCTGACGTACAAAAGATAATTACCCAATCGGCCTTCTTAATCTTGAAAGCACTCAGTCTTAACATTGAAGTGTTAATTAAATTTTGACTGTGCAACTTTTAGTCGGATTGATTAATAAGAGATATTATTCACACAAGTACTTGGCCAATTCTTACAGATTAAAACATTATGTAAGTAATTGATTAATGGAAGTATAAGAAAGAAGTAATCCTGAGGCTGAGCGATGTATGTTCGACAATTTTATAGAAATAAAATGTGCAACTGGGGATCAGGATTACGGATTACCAAG